CTGGATCTATTCAGGATCCCGCCAGGCCCCGGTCGTCTCACTCACTCGCCTGGCCTGTGCTCTGGGTCTGTCCAAAAATTTATTTTAAGTAAATACATGTATTTCTTTGATTAAAAATGGAATATAATGAAGAAGTAGAGAATGTCAAGACAGGAAAGGGGCTGGGGATGTAGCTCCGTGGTAGAGTACTTGTCTACCATACACAAGGCCCTGAGTTCAATCCCCAATACAAAAACAAACAAACAAACAAACAAAAAAAACAGCAAGGGGTATTCGAGAAGCCAAAAGCCATTTGGTATGACTGGGGTCTGGATGAGGGGAGCGTGTGTGTACATATGACATCACTGGCAACTCTTGTAAGCGAGGACATGTAAAATATACTTGAGCGCTATCAGCAAATTTTAGGCATTTGTGAGGCAGCCACAGGGTAATGGCACAGTTAGCAATCCTCTAATGCTCTGCTGTGATGGCCTTATCCGTTGCTTATGGTTAGTACCTAGGGGCAGTTGCTTATCCTTTGTTAGATACTTTTAATATCATTTCTATATGAGTAAAAACAGTAAGACTATCCTTACGTTGGTAGTTCTGTGGAAACAGAGAGGCTGTGGGACAGAGATTGCAGGGTGACTAAATGGGGACAGTGGTGGCAAAGTGGTATGGGTATTCCTTTGGAAGTACCAGATATAGTCTTAAGTTGGTGGTGACAGGTATACGTCTCTGGATGTATTAAAAGTCAATGAGTTGAACATGTGAAGTAGGTGAATTATAATAGTTATAGCAATATAAGTAATACAGTAGTTCAAATACATCTACATATGCTGGGTCCTTCTGGCTCCTGCTTTGCCACTCCAGGGAATTCATGTTCTTTCATCTCAAGGAGTATAGAAATCCCCTTTTTACTGAATATCATTATAACCAAAAAAGAGTGCTGTACCCAAAGTATTGTGGCAAAATTCAGTGAGACAAATACTCATGAGACCAAGAATGGGAATAAACAAGGCTGGCAGGAGGACAACTTGAAGCAAAATCAGGGAATTTCAGTGGCCAAAGAACCTTGTACTGGGTTTTTGTAGTTACCAGTGACCATGGCCACCATATTGCCTCATTTTGCAATTTACAGAAATGTCACAAGGCTTCCATTTCCCAGGGGTTTGTTAGTACTGTTAAGTTTTAGCTTCCCTACGGTTTGTTTTAACTGTTTGTTCCTTAGGTTAGTGATTCATTCTCCTTTTCTGGTTTTATTTTTAGCTGAGAGGGAAGAGGGTAAGGAGTGAATTCACCGAAAGTTTAAGTGATGTCTAACTTGCTTTTCCTAACTTTTTTTGAAATCTTTTTTTATATATGTATTTGGTACAGCGTCTCAGGCAGGCAGGGCATGCAGTACTGGAGATTGAATCAGGGCCCTTGCACTTGCCAGGCAGGCACTTAGACTCTAAAATGAAGTTGAAAATGGAGTCTCTCTTGCCATGGCAAGAGCATGGATTAAAGTTTTATAGCAAACAGTGGGAAACAATTTGACTGGAATTTCATTTTAAAAAGTACTAAATTGGGCCAGGGTGGTAGCTCAGTGGTAAGCGCCTGCCTGGCAAGCACAAGGACCCAGGTTTGATCCTTGGTACTGCATGCTGTATCACTGTGCTGGCCCCAAAACCAGGCCTGGTGGGTCATGCCTGTAATCTCAGCGCTGGGGAGACTGAGACAGGAGGATCACTATGAGTCAGAGCTGTGTAGCAAGACCCTGTATCAAATAAGTAAATAAAATTTTTAAAAAGTACTAAATTGAGTCACTGATGCTTATCAATAAAGAGTCCTTCTCGTAGTTGATGAAGCAGTTTTTTGTTTTGTTTTGTGGTTTTTTTTTTTTTTTTTTTTTTGGTGGTACCAGGGATTGAACTCAGGACCTTGCACTTGCCAGGCAAGCACTTATTCCCCTGAGCTGTCTCCCTGATTCAATGAAGCAGTTTTGCTCACAGTTCTGAGAGTCAATCAAATATTAGAGCCTATACTCTGATATTTTCTCCTTCATGTGAGATTCACTGGGACAAAAACTTTTAGGGACTCCATCAGCTTTCCTGAGGGTCTTCCTAGATACATCAGATTTCTCATGATTTACTTTTGAAGTCTGTCTGTACTTTTACCTTTTTCTTTCTGTAACTAATTTATCTCTACAGTAGTACTGGTCAAAGTATGAAGATCTATATATAGGATTGATACTGTCCATATCATAAGTCATTCCCAGATTGACCAATTAAGCTTCCTCTGAGCCTGGATTTTACTTGGAGAACTTTCAGTTACTAATCACTTTGCTTGACCTGTGCCTGTTTAATTTGCATTTCTTCTTGAATCATTTTTGGTAATATGGGTATGTGTGTGGTTGTTGTTGCTGCTGCTTCTCCTTCTCTTCCTCTTCCTCTTTCTTCCTCCTCCTTCCTCTTTCTCCTCCTTCCTCCTCCTCTTTCTTCCTCCTCCTCTTCCTCCTCCTCCTTCCTACTCCTCCTCATCTCCTTCTTCTCCTCCTCTTTCTCTCCTCCATCTCCATCTCCTTCTCCTTCTCCATCACCTCCTTCTCCATCTCCTTCTCCTCCTTCTCCTCCTTCTCCCTCTCCTCTTCCTCCTTCTCCTTCTCCTTGTCCATCTCTTTCTCCATCTCCATCTCCTTCTCCTCCTCTCCTTTTACTTCTCCATCTCCTCCTGTCCTTTTCCTCCGCTTCCTCCTTCTTCTCCTCCTCCTCCTTCTTCTTTTCCATCCCCTCCTCCTTCTCCTCTTCCTCTTCCTCCTCTCTCTTCTCCTCCTCCTCCTCTTCCTCATCTTTTTTTTAATAACAATTCAGCTCAGAATCCTGTGCTTACCAGGCAGGTGCTAAGCCACTGAGCTGTATTCCTGAGCTATATTCCCAGATCAATATGTGTCTTTTTAAGAATATGTTCATTTCAGCTGCTAAATTTCTTGCCTTAAAGTTTTTCAACGTAGTTCCTTATTCTCTTATTAATTTCTGTAGAGTCTATTCTTTTTGGTCATTAGTGTCTTCTATTTTTTTCTTAGTTTCTAGTTAGCAGTGTGTTAATTTTCTTGGATTCCTCCAAAAAGCCAATTGTTGGTTTTGTTGTTTTTCTCTAGTGAGATTTGTTTCCTGTTTCATTTATTTTTTGCTGTGCTCTATTTTATATTTGATTTACTCTTTTCCTATCTTCTAAAATAGTAGCTTTGGTTAATAATTTTAAACATTTAATACTTTATAAAATAAGCATTTAAAGCTGTTTTCTTCTGATTCTTCTGTGGCATAAGTTTTGGTATAGTTCAGTTTTATTTTCATTTAATTTAACCCAAGATATTTTCTAATTTTTGTTTTGATTTCATAAATTGGAATTATGATATTCACTATGTATTATTTCCTACATTTATTTTTATTATCTACTTTTCATTTGTTAAAATCACAAATTGTTTTATTTCTAATTATGCCATTTCTAATCATTTTTTAATTATGTTCTGATCATAGAATATACTTTGTATGATTTTGTTTTTAATTTATTAGAATCTGCTTTTTATACTAGTTTAATGGCCTGGTTAATAGAAAGAATGAGCTTCCCTATTTTAGAGTTATAAGCTTATTAAGTATGTTAGGTCAAGCTGGTTAATAAAATTGGTTTAGGATCTTCTACATCCTAATTTTTTATTTATTAATTTTATAGATCACTCAGGAATTTTGAACATTCCAAGCATAGTTATTTATTCTTATTTCAGTTATGTCAGCTTTTTCTTCACACACTTGCTCTGTTTTAGATGAATATTCATTTATTGTTTTTAAATTAATTATTGAGGGCCCAGGGAGATAGCTCAGTTGAATAAGCACTTACCTTAGTTCAGAGTCCTGAGTTCAATCCCTGGTACCACTAAATAAATAAATAAACAGACTTCGATAAGCTACTTTGTTATATCTCATTTCTGTTTTTATCCTTCTATAACTTCTTTATTGTTTTCATTTGATTCTTAACAAATCCTGATTATTATACCATTTATTTAATTCCTCTACTGATTTTCTTTTTCCTTCCTTTTTTTGTTCTTTCTTTACGTTTCATTGCTGGGGATTGAACTCATGGCCTTGTGCATGCCCCATAGATGCTCTACCACACTGACCAACATCCCCAGCCTATCAACTTTGTAACTATACATATATTTTTATTTTCTTCCAATGGGGTGTTTGCACAGGAGTTTACAATATATATCTTTTGATGCATCATTATTTAAAGTTAAATTGACTTAATTCCACTGAAACCCAGCAGTTTTTATGCAGATTGCCCCATTTCCTGCCCATTGTCAGTAACCTCTATGGACCTCAGATTTATCCTGCTTGAGGGTTAGTAAAGCAGCCCGCCACAGTTCTGGTGGGCTTTGGCAGAAGACTGAGGGTTCCTGCTCAGAAACAAAGCGTGCTGTGTTTCTAACAGCAATAGCATCAGCCAGCGCATCATGCCTTGCAGCAGTTCCCCGAGCCCTAATTCCCACAGTGCAACACAACAAGGGCACAATCTGCGACAGTTCACTGGAGCAGCATTCGTGATTTTTGCCAATGGGATACTGGGAACATGGATATTCTGAAAGTAAGTTTGTGAAGTTGTGCAACTGTATTTACCTATGAACACCTACCATATCCGTTGTTATTTTAAAAGCTTTCAAAATCTTACAGAAAATAAGCTGTTTAATTTTTTGTGAAGTGAAAATTCCCAAAATTATTTCAGTCTCTTATTCATTTATTTATTGAATGATCAAAACTGTGCATAAGCCTTCCACGTTACTCACTCTGACAAACACTGATCTAGCAAATAAGAACATGAAATGTAGACTTCTTGTTTTTAAGTCATTGTTAAGAAATTTACTATTTTGGCAATAAAATGAATGTGATCTTTCCTAATTTCTTTGAACCACTTAACACACTTCTGTTGTTAGAACGATTGGAATCAAGTGTGCACTGTATTTATCTGTGGACTCTCTTCCCCTGTAGGTGACGTGCTCAACCTCGGTGACAGACAGCTCACGGTCATGCACATGCCGGGTCACTCCAGGGGCAGCATTTGCCTACATGACAAAGACCGGAAGATTCTCTTCAGTGGGGATGTGGTCTACGATGGGTCTCTGATTGACTGGCTGCCATACAGCAGGATAAGCGACTATGTGGGCACCTGCGAACGTCTGATCGAGTTGGTGGACCGGGGCCTGGTCGAGAAGGTGCTTCCTGGCCACTTCAATACCTTTGGTGCAGAAAGGCTTTTTCGGTTGGCTTCTAACTATATCTCAAAAGCTGGCATATGTCACAAAGTGTCTACTTTTGCCATGCGATCCCTTGCGAGTTTAGCTCTCCGTGTAACAAATTCTAGGGCCTCACCCTAGGATCCACACTGTGCGCTGTTCTATTAGATGTGTCAGCTAACTCAGTTCAGTTTGTGCAGTTTGAAATGGTGAACCTGAGGATTTCAAGGAGTGCTTTTATAGCCCTATCGTGTGTTAGAGAGAAAAGACGGAGAATGATATGCCAAAAAGAAAGGTCTTAGTTTTTTTTTTTCTCTCAAGTAAGAAACAACTTAAATAAGTTTATAATTTGCCAAAGCTGTCATTTTGTATTATTTGCTCTAAAAATGCCACTGAATTCAGAAACAAAGAATAGAAAAGTAAGAAGGCATTTTATAGCAAGAGAAAGAACTTTCCTTGCCCACTTCCTTCGTTTCCTGGATCACCTGGGAAAAAAAATAGTTCTATGCTTATCCTCTAACCTTGTGTATTATTTCCTTCTTTAGAAATAAAGTTCCTTGGGTTTAATATTCACAAATCCACATTTTGAATGACAGGTAAAACATCCTGTGGTATGGGCCTCACTCTTTAATGCTCCCTTAATTAATTTATTATTTATGTAATATAGCGTACATATATGCTGTGTAATTTAGCTCATGAAAAATATAAATTCTGTTTTATTGCAAAGCTTTAAATATAAATTGCAGAATGCTTTAGTAAAAGGTTTATATTGTTGTCTGTTATTATGTAAGTAATATTTTCAATGCTAAAAGTAAAATTCAGATATATGTAATCTAACTGCAAACTGTCAGATTTCTCAAAAGGACACTGTCAGGCAAATTTGAAAATATACACATTGAAAATAATTTTTTATTATATCCTATTTTAATATTAACAGCTACTGTAAACAAAATTTGTCTTGTTAAATAGCGACTTCAGTATTGTGTCATATTTTACAGAAGTATAGAGGTCTATGACATCTTGATATGACCATTCTTTTAGTTAACATATATATGTATCATGAAAGGATTTTGAAATTAATTGCAAAGCGTGCGTTAAGTATTGACCCGAGTGACTTGCCTTTCTTATCCTGATTCACAACACCTCTTCCTGCTCAGTATTCATTGTCTTAAGTGAAAAAAAGTCTATGTTCAGAAAATCATAGGAAAAGTTCAATTACTATTAATAATATGCTTTGGATTGGTGCTCTTAATAATTTATTTAAAACCCTTTTTGAACTATTTCATAAAGGTTTTTTAGACAGTTTTTCACTACTTTTCTATTATTAACATATCTAAAACCAAATGTTATGAGCTTTGGAAATTAGATCTTTCAGTATTAGAAAGGTCCAACGATTTTGATTTCTGTCAAATTATGTAACTTTTTCTACCCTGCAGACACCTAGATTCTTTAGGTTTTTAAAATTCATTTAGTGCACGCACACACACCCCCCCGCATGCACATGCATGTACTCATAGCCACATACATATATGCACAGTACTGCGATAAACACTGTGGAAACTTCAGAAGTCAGAGACATTGTAGCTGGAAGTTGAAGGCACACAAAACATGAATGGTTATATATGCAAATAGAACTTAATATAAAAAATACATGAGTGTAAGGTACATAGAGGGATGAGTGTGAGATTTGCTTAGAGAAAATATTCTGGAGGAGGTTTTGAGTCAGAAATAGAAGATGGATTTGTTCAGTGTCAGGGCAGGAAACAAAACAACCCTATGATAGGGAAGTAAGATTTACTGTATAGAGTAGTTTATTCTTTGTGACAGTACAAATTTACATTTTAGGAATCCCAGTTGTTCCAAGCACCATGTATTCAGCATGAGAAAGACTGGTTTGTGATTGTGTATACAAGTCATCTTTCATGACAAATGTGCTCAACTGCCACACGCCACCAAATGAACCTTCACGTAGAGTCAGAAAGGAGGCTGTGATTGGTTCAAATACAAAATCCCATGAGACTTCTCTGGGATGGTCGCTCAAGGCAGGAGGTTGGTTTCAAGTGATAGTACAACATCCAGAATATAGATTTGGTTCAGGGCAATTACAATCACATATGAGCCTTAAATATAGCCATTATTTTTATATCAGTAGCACAAAAGAAAACCAAAAGTCCTTAACCGCTGACCATTTTATCATTCTTTAGGAATTTTTTTTAAAATCAGGGTATAGTAGGCATTAAGTTTTAGTAGTAAATATTGACTCCTGCTGAGGGATTTCCTTATTTATTAAAAGTGCAATTTTTTCAGAATATATTAACATTATTTTAATTCCCCATTTTCTTTTTTCAATTTTTCAAATTGTAATCCAGTGTAAGACTGTGAAGTTTTGCTGTTGCTACAATGTCAATAAAATGAGAATAAGTTGGGGAAGGATATCATTGAGTACCCATGTTGTACATTTTGAATATGCATTGTTTAGTTTAGTCCTTGTCCTAGCACCACGAGATACTAAGCCAGCCTCATACAGCGGGACTAGGGACACAGCTGGTAACTGACCACGAGTGTGTCTCCTTAGCCTGTGTTCTTTTTCTTAGATGTGCACAACATTAAAATTGGCAAATGTGTATTTTTACTCTCCCAGATGCCACATGTGCCAAGAATAAATCAAACGATGCTAAAGCATAATAACATTTAAAAATAACTTTTAAATACATATTTTCACCCTGACAGTGACCCTTGTTATAATTTATGATTTTTGGAAATATTAGTATGTAGGTGTAATTCACAGTTGTCAATATGCGAGACATTTAAGAATAATTTATATTTTATGTTCTTAATAATCCTTGGACATTCATTTTCCATATGTGACGTCTCCTTTTAACTGAAAAGCTTAAGTCCTTGTGTGTTATCCTGCTGTAGTTAAATAAATGATTGTGTATTTGTTTTATGGATAGTATTATGAATGTGACATGCACAAATTGTCCTCTTACAATTTCAAGTAAGTATAAACACTTGTGTGATAAATATTAAGTGGACATTTATTTTAATCTTTGATGTGTGCTTTCTATAATAGCGGATTTCCATTCCTTACAAGGATATCTTCTGTATGAGATGGATTTTTTTAAGTGTTCGTAACAGTAAAAGTCAAATCTATGGAAAAAAATAGCTCAAAAAAAAACCCCTCGTAAGCTATGAGTACCTAATAAACAACCAGTGGATAAAAGTCGGACTATTCAATAACTATTACACTTTTTTATGTGGGAACAAAGGGTTTATGCCATTATAAAAATGAATTCAAGTGCATTCAACATCCAAATGTGAAAACCAGAACTACATGTGCTCTGAAAGAAGAATCACATATCCTTCAGGGTAGGGAAGATCTGATTTGTACACAAACAGCACACAATTACAGTGAAATTATTAATGTCTTAAAATTTAAGATGCTGTAAAGAAAAGAGATGCTACAAGAAAATGCAACTTCTATAACAAAAGAAAAAGTCAATGTGAAGAATGCCTACAAATGGTAAGAAAAAGGCCAGTTGCTATAACGGAGGGAAAATAACTCTTTCCTCCCCGTCTAGGTTCTGCGGCTGGGCCTGAGAGTGGCACTGCCAAAGGAGAAATTAAGAGAAAAGCATACCAATTTTCCTTGATGTTACTATTTTTATGTGTACACAGAAACTTTCATGTAAAATGAAGAACTACAAAACGAAGCGGCCTGAGAGTTTATATACCATTTCAATAAAGAATGGTAAATTATGAAAGTGACAAGACCGTAGAACAGGGAGTTTCAGCTAGGGCTAGTAATTCGTAGGAAAGCGAATAGGATATGCATGGAAGATAATAGGTGCGTTAGGTGTAGTCTGTTCTCTGTGGGAACAAAGCCAACTCAGAGATTTATTAGATTGGCTCCCATTCATCCTGGATGGAAGTCCCCCAGTGGCTGGAGGCAGGCTGGCAAGCTGGGGAAGCCAGAGCTGCTCAACTCAATCTGGAAACCTCAGAATAACAAAGCCCTATGTGCAGACCAGTCTGAGGCTGAAGATGGAGAGATCCCCTGGAGATTGGCTTATTGCGAGTCCACTTTCAAAGGTCGAAAAAGTCTGATGTCTATGCAAAGCAGGCTCTGGATGAAGGAGAATACCTGTAGGCTTCTCCTTGTCCCTGTTTGTTCCAGGCTGAACCTCAGCCTGTGGGGCAGTGCTGCCCGTAGGCAGGCCTACCTCTGGGCACACCCCAAAATGCGCTTCATCATTTCTCCATGCAGCTCTGAATCCGGTCAAATTCACAACTAAGATTGACCGCCAAAGTAGCTTTGTTCCTACAGATTCAACATAGTGCTGAATCTCGGTGATAAAATTTTTTTTTCTTGCAGTACCAGGATTGAACTCAGGACCCTGCGCTTGCCAGGCAAGCGCTTATGAGAATATTCTTTACCTGGCATGAAAAAGAGCATCTCCTGAGAAATTTTATGTTCTGCTGTGAGGGCCAAAGGGAGTGGTCAGAAAGCCTTATGCGTGGGTGGCTTTGCTTATTTGCCTTTAATTCAGTCACTATATCAAAGTAGTGTGTTCTAAGCTGCCTCACTACTTGTTAAAATGGCTAAATTATATGAATAGGTTATTCACCCAAGAGGAAACCAAAAGACCTGTAAACAAAATAATACTGAACCTCACTATTGATTAGGAAAATGCAAGTTAAAATGGTAGACTGGTTTAATGAAACGGATCGATTTTGAGACTGTAGAGCTTCGTTACACATATGGAGGAGCTGCTACTAAGTGAAACTGCCCTGGGTGGGACAGTTTGGGGGTGTAATTTAGCATATGCTAAGTCTTGGAGTTAAGAATGGCTGGTTGAACTTTTTCCTCTGCTCCTTTCTGGAACTTTTTTTTTTTTTTTTTTAATGTATTTATTTGTTGCAGGGTCTCACGACAGAGCTCAGACTCATATTGATCCTCCTGTTTTCAGCCTCTCTAGTGCTGGGATTACAGGAATGAGCCACTGTGCCCAGACTCTGGCTGGCTCAGCCTGCTCTTGGGGTGGGACTGGCGTGGCATCTGGTGCTGGGGATTGAACTTCAGTCACTGTGCTTGCCTGCACTTGCCTAAGCAAGCTTTTTAATCCACCAAGCTATCTTACCGGCCCCCTCAAACTCTTAAGGTGATGGAAAAGACAGTTTTTTAAAATGACACAAAGGAGAAACAAGAATGATAAAAGACAGAACAGCAACAGCAGCTCTGAATACTGACAAGCTGATGGGTAAATAAAACTGATTTAGTAAACTCTAGAAATCTGGAAACCAAGCTAGGAATGAGGAAGGCTGAGCAGTGGTCTTACAATGCCCAGCTCCCTGAAAGACTTGGAAATCATTGGTGCTTTCTAGGAATGAAAGTCAATGTCTTTTTTACTCAAATTCTATTTTCAGTTTAGACCACTAAAGGCCTCCCCAGCTCTACACTGTTAAGCAATGTCCCTTCCCCTACCTCAGAGACTTTGAATTAGGTTTTCCTACAAATTTCCATATCCCTGGAAGGGGCCCAAAGTATGTGTTCGCATTTTTTTTTTTAATTTGTAAAAATTATATTCTCTCAAGGTCCCCAAATTGTGTAACTTTGAAGCACTACAAAACTGAAGTCGGCCTCTGTAGGATTATTATGTGGGAGTGGCACTAAGCTAGATGAGAGAATCCTTTTTTTTTTTTTTTTTTTTGTGGAACTGGGGATTGAATTTAGGCCCTTGCTTTTGCCAGGCAAGCACTTATTCTACTGAGCTATCTCCTGGACCCCCTAATAGAACAAAATTTTGATCATTTTCTCCCTACTTCCATTACTACCTTTCCCCTTTCCCTCCTTTCCCTTGATCTCCTTCCTCTTCTCTAATAGTTTCCTTTCATCCACCTCTCTTAAAAGGTTTTAAGATTTTTTTCCCTAGATTCCTCCTATGAAAGAAAACATGTGAAGTTTGAATTTGTGAGTCTACTTATTTCACTTAGCGTGATGATTTCATGTCTGCAAATGATGTGATCTCCTTCTTGTTTATGGTTGAATAATAATCCAGTCTATTCATTTAACACACATTTTCTTTATCCCTTCCTGTGTTGATAAGTGCCCAGACTGTCCCTGTAATTTAGCCAATATGCGCTGCGCTGCAGCAAATGCGCATGGACGGGCATTGCTACAGTGTGCCGACTAATTCTTTTAGGAGTATGCCACAGAGTGAAATGGCTGGGCCAAGTAACAGTTCTGCTTTTAGGTGTTTTAGGAAGCTCCATAACGACCTCCATAATGGCTGCAGTCATTTACGTCCCAACAGCAGGTAAAAGATTCCCCTCCACCTCACATCCCTGACAGTGTTTATTTTATGTATTCATCAGGTGTATTCATGATGCCAGCCATTCTGTTCAGAGACGGAATTTGAAGGTAGTTAATTTTGTTTTCAATTTATCCAACAGCAAAAGATGCTGAACATTTTTTCATATTGACTTTTGGTATCTTCAGAAGTGTCTGTTTACTTGCCTGTATTTGGTTCTTTTTTTTTTTTTTTTGGTATGTGAAGTTTTTTGGGTGCGTTACTATTCTAGGTATTAACCCGTTGTCAGAAATTCTTTCCCATTCCACAGGCTGGATCTTTACTTGTTTCCTTTGTTTTATAGAAGCCTTTTTTTTTTTTTTAATATCACACAATCCCCTCAGTTAATTCTTGCTATTATTTCTTGTGCTAATGGAGTCTGTTATGGTCTGTGTCTAGTTGTCCCCCCAAAGCTTCGCCTCATGCAGTCATGGGGCAGCTTCAGGAATCTGTGGTTGATTCATGATCCAATGCTGGGAGTGTGGATTCATGATCCGGTGTGTGTGTGGGGGGGTGTGCCCTGGGGCAGGTGCTCTGCGTTACGATGTGAGGAAGGGAGCGAGACTATCTAGCCACCTGAGCTGCTGCTGCTTCTCTCTTTGCTCTTGCTCTTTGCTGCTGCCATGAATGGTTGCTCTCTGCCATGTGCCGCTCTGCCTTGGAGCCAGGTGAGTATGGACTGAACCCTCCACTGACTGTGAGCTAAATAAACCTTTCCTTCCTTCACTTTGGGCATTGGGTATTTGTCCCAGCAATGAAAGAACAGTAACTGAGACAGGGTCATTTTTGGAAAGTCTCTGCTGCCTATGGATTCAGTGATTTTCCATGTGTTTTCTTCTAGCAGTCTCAAATTTTTAGGTCTTTTACCTGTACCTGTTATCTGTTTGAATTGATTTTGGTACATGGAGAGAGAGAGGTTTAGTTTTAATCTACCTATCAGCTTCCAGTTTTCCCAGCACCATGTGTTAATGAGGCTGTCTTCTCCTCAGCATGTTTTGATTTGCCTTTCTAATGGCTTTGTTATTTTGTTTTGCATGCCACAGAAACAACCTAATGTCATTGTCAGTTTCACTCATCTTAGTAGAAGCTCTCCTCAGTCATTTTACATTTGAAAGATATTCTGCAGTACACTAACCATGGTCTATTACGTAGGGAGATCCTCTCTAAACCCAGTGTAAACACAGCATGACAGATACCTCTAATGGTTCCCACCTGTCTTGGTTACTCTTCTCTCAGTGCTGGGACAAATATCCGACCCTCAAAATGAAGGAAGGAAAGGTTTATCTAGTTCACAGTTAGTGGAGGTTTCAGTCCATACTCAGCTGGCTCCAAGGCAGAGCGGCACATGGTAGAGAGCAACCTTTCATGGCCTCGGCAATGAGCAGAGAGCAAAGGGAGGCGCCCTAGCCTCTCTCCCCTCCTTACATTGTAATGCAGATTACCTGCCCCAGGACTATGGTGTAGCACTTGCATCTGGAATAATCAATCACAAACTCCAGAAGCTGCCCCATGACTGCATGAGGCTTGGGGGGGGCACATCTATACACAAACCATAACACCATCTCAGAGAGCAGACTCTTGGGTAAGAGTTTCTGATGGCGTTTTAACCACATTCAAAGCAGACAGTGTTTGGAGTCAGGATCCCCAAACCATTGGTTGAGAAGCAGACAACTTCATACGGTTGCCATCCCAAGATCCAGTGGAACAGAGTTTGTTAAACAGTACTAAAATACTGAAAAGGAAAATTTTATTGTGATTATTTGCTTTGTGTGTTGACAGGGTCCTAATGTTTTATTTTCTTTCTTTCTTTTTTTTTTCTTTTTGGTATTTTTAGTAAGGGTCTACAGGGTCTCACTATA